TAACTTTCTATGTTTAGAATGCAAAGGTTATGTCTGCCAAATGCAAGTAGTGTGGACCAATAGGAGAGGAAATGGACCCTTTAAATGGACTCCCGGGTCTGACCTGAAATGCTAATGTAGATGTGCACCGAAGGTGGGACCTGGGATCAGAAATCTGTCTCTGGAAAGTAGTACAAATTGTCCTGATGATCTTAAAGAGTACAAGTTGGAGAAGGGGTGAGGGGTGTGTCCTTATTGGTTTTTGAAGTGAATGTTGTTTCCTTATTCTTTGTTGATGGGATAAAGGCAAACAATTGTACAGCTGTAATATCAGGATGGGCCTTCTTGAGTTACTGTCTCCAAAAGCGGTGTTTTTTCTTTGCTGTTTTCTCCCTTGAGCTGTGCATAAGGTCCAGCTTGTAGGGTGGAGGGCTCTGGCCTTGGGAAAAAACCAGCATGACAAAAGAGGATCTGTCACTGGCTTCAGGAAGCTCTCAGACTATTATTCTGCCTGGGTTCGTGTATCATAAGGAGAAGACTCCAGTTTTGCAGGAGCTTCTGGCAGGCCTGGCTTGGTTGTCTCATGTTTCTTGATGTGGCAGAAGGCAGTAACACTCATTCCCCTACCCTTTTGTTGGAGAGAAGGACAAGTCCTACTGTTCCACTTGACTTCCTCTGCTGAATTTGGGGTGGGGTAGGAATATGAGGTCAGTCTGTCCTGTTCCATGCCTACATCATTGTATCTTAGTGATTGAAGTGAAGTACAATTCACAAATAAATTTTTTCATAACTTCACCATTATTGATTTTAGTTCAAGTATAGATGATACTTTTGTTGCTTCACTACCCTAAACAAATTTTGACTATTGGTGGCTTTAAAGGTCAAATAATAACCCAGGCACTATAATGTACAGCAGGCAAGGGTGGGGGAACAGAGCAAACAGATGAGCTGGAGATCAGCCAGGGAACACGTCCTACTGGCTCTCCTTGGGGGACTACACCAGAGCCCTGGATTGACGCCATTGTGAGAAGAAAACTATTAGAGGATGTAGCTTTGCACAAATGAAGTGTTTACTGCCAAATAAAGATTACGCACATGCCTAAACTACTAAGAAAGTGATGTGCATGTGTACACCAGAAAAATACTTCCAAAATAAGAATATGGGTTTAGGAAAAATACTGGTTTCCTCCTTTCAAATGCTAAAGCATCAGTAGTACTTGGTACTATTTAACAGTAAAGGCTGGAGTGTTGCTAAGAAAAATATGCATTTTTAGCCTGAATTTAAAGGATTTGCAGGTGCTTTGTTTAGGTCTTGCATTAATGCAAGAGATCAGTCGGCAAACAGTCACCATGTATTCTATGTCTGACTGGTCAGCCTGAGGATTCAGATTGTGTCACTGAAGGAAACGGTGTTAGAATATGAGATTCCTGGTCCTCTGCTCAAGCACCTTCAGAAACATTCCCTTCTGCTTTTGGCTAAAGATGGGATGAAGGCAGAATTGGACACTACCAGGCATTTGTACATCTCGCCAAACTTTCCCCCAAAAGTAGCCATTACAGCCAAAAAATGCTGAATACTGTGGTAGTAGGCATTATAGAAACTTGAAGTGTATAGGAAAAGTATGTGCCTATAGGACTCTACATTTAATTCTTCACACTATAAAGTGAGATAATATTCCCCCATCATTGCCCAGCTGCTTGAAACAAAATATGCTTTTCTTTAAAGTATTGCACTGCTGTCTCTTCAGAGAGCTTATTTATAAATGTCCGGAAAGACAAGATTGGAAAACTGTATTTCAGCAGTAAGGAGCAATCTTCTATCAGACCACTTCTGTGCATCTCTAGTTGTAACCGCAGAGCATTGCCTGTGTTTGTCATTCCTGCTGCTAGCTACTGTTTTATTGCCAGAGCCTCTCTGAAGATTGTATATCCTGAGATGTCTCTCTAGAATACTGATAACTTGGGACTCATATGCAGAGAGCACACAGAGTACAAACGAGAATTATGCAGTATGCGCTTTGTGCTGTCAGGATGTATTATTTGGGGTTTATCCAAGCTAGGCTTATGATTGCCATATGTAGACTAGCTAAAGATGCATATAAAGGTACTTTCCAAGGACAGCAAACAGTGGCAGATAAAGCTTGTGTTGCTCCCTTTCAGTACGTTTCTGGTCACAGCTACCCTGAGGATTTGGAGCCTGGAGGAGACCAAAGATTACAGGAGTGACTTTTACTGGGTGACTGGCCAACATGTGGCGTGCCAGGGTGCTAAGAATTTGGCAGTGCTAGAAAATCAGGCAAGGTGGGAAAGGGCTCCATCAGAAAGGCAATATAGAACTGATTCACTACATTTTATTGTCATTGACTTTAATAGGAGTGTGACAACATGCAAAGTAGTTTATTTTTTCTTACTAGCACTACTTTATATTATGACTAGCTTCTCTAAGTTTGCAAACGTGAGCTGAATTTCACTTGGATTTCTTCTTTCATTTGAATTTTACTACTTTCCTATGGAAAGAACTTGATTAAACGTAGTAATTTGCTGAGGGTTTTTTGTTTATTTTAAAGAAAGACACAGTGTCTTATGAAAAGAGACTTAAATGACTGTTCATCCTTCTTGGAATTTTTTTTAAGTAAAATAATTATAAGACACAGGCAACATTCTTTCTCCAGTGTCTGTTTTCTCACACTACTACACTATAGTCTGTTAATTCCAAAATCAGCTAAAATTTAAGAAATGAGTTGTAGTGTTTGCTTTAAGGCAAAATTTCTTCTCATCCTACAATAACTATATAGGCACAGAGGGAAAACATAGAAGACATTTAAAAACTTTGTGAAGAAGTCATTTTAGCAGCCATCTTCCCTTGGGGCAGAGCTCGTGTTTCCTGAGTATGGCCAAGGCCATGACTTTTTCAAAGGTTTATGTGTTACTGGATTATACAGTTTATTTTGCTTATCAGTCTTAGCCAGAAAGTTGTCTTTGGTTTCTTTTCTACAACAAATGTAATGAAGCAAAAGTAGTGTAAAACGTTTTGCACAAGTTGATGTAAGTGTTAATGACAAATAAGTGCTTGTTTCAGCCTGGTTTGTACCATCTTATCACCAGTTAGAAAAAGGGATGTGCTGACTGTTCTGCTTTGATAGTAACACTGACTCTGAGCAGTGTTGTGTTGTCTCATGCCTTACATCGATTTTTGTTATTAGTAACAATAAAACTAGTGCTGTATGTAATGTAGGATGAAAGCGATGAATGTGATGTTTATTTTTTTTATCTGTCTCTGTCAGGCAACAGCCTTTTGTAGTAGGAGAGAGAGGAATCCGGTTTGTCTTTCTTGCTCTTTTGGCTTATTGTTTGTACTTTAGGGTTGGGTTATAGTCAGATTTTTCTTTTCCTTTTAGCATGCTGGCCTTTTCCAAGGCTCCTTGCTGCGTGTATTGGAGAAATTCACATGTTAATTTTATCCAGTCTATCATTGTCTGCAGAATTAAAAAGCTTTCAGTACTGTCTTCATTTACTATTTGCTCAATGTCAGTTTTGCTTAGGAAACTGTGGAGGTGGTTGCAGACTGCGGTGTACTATACTAGAGATACTGGTTACATGACTATTTATATGTTCTGGGTCCAAACTGAGTATAGATGTAAAAAAAAAATAAAAAATCACAGGTATAAAGCCACAGTTGTGATCAGTCATCTATGGACAATGTTACTAACAACTTTTGGAAATGAGGTTATGATAACTTTCTTCAAAATTATCGCTGTTTTGATTCTATTTCAAATAAGCAAAGAGGATGCGAACTGGGAAAAGGAAAGGGATGAAGAACTTATTAATTCTGCAAATAAGCAACTATATAGGTAAAGGTCTATATTGTTGCTTCTCAAGCCACAGCTTCATTCACAAGTTAATAGGGGAAGAGTAGTCCAAAGCACTCAGCCTGGGTTTAGGCTTCTTTGAGGAAACGTGGAGAAATCGCTGCTACAGCAGTGAGCTTTTCATTGACCTGCAGCACTGGGGAGGTGAATGAAGAAATAGTGATACTTCAGCTTTTTTGCTGCCAAAAGCATTTAGGAAACTGTAACTGTTCCTTTGTGAACTCACTGGAATAAGGAAGACTTTGTACTTGCTTCTTGATACGACCCATCTGTTCAACATCAGGCAAACTCTGGTTAAAATGTGTTCCAAAAAATAACATAGCTCCTCGGGATTACTGGCGTCACAACCCAAGCTCTACTTCTAAGGGGGCAATAGCATTACAACCAGACTGTGCTGACTATCATATTGAAAACACAGCATATGTGGTTTACCATATGATAACCGAAGTCAGTGCAAACCATCTCCCAAGGCAAGTCCTTAAAGTGCCTTATGTCATAGTAAGAGTCTTAACATTATTTTCAAATTTTTCCTGCTAACTGATTAGTCAGTAACTGAACTTTCTTTGTATAATGAGTTCTTGGCACTGTAGATGCCTGAAGTTGAATTGGCCAGGTGTCTATTTTGTCAATTCTCATGTTTCATAGGTGTTGCAAGATGCTGGAACCTAGGAATTCACTTCTAATTTCCATCAACTGTTGTAAATACCGAGAATGCTAAATTCAAAGTGATGTTCTTGTTGTTTTCTTTTTCTATCGTAACATGTGTAACTGTTTGCTTATATAAACAATGTATATGATAGCTAAAATGGGTAACAAGATTGAGTTAAGTTTTGTTCAAATATCTGTTTGGACTTTCTGGCAGACTAATTCTTATAGCTACAGAGGCAGCAAAATGCCCTCTGGGCTTCTCGCGGAGGATGCTAGAAGCTCATTTTGTTTTCATTCCACATGTTGATTCAAAAATATTGTGCATACTTAGCCTTTTTAATTTCTTTTTGAATGCAAAGATTTTCTTAATTGTATTTTATTGCTGTGCTGCAGAACACTTTTTTGCTGTAGTCTTCTACCTTTTTAAAAGGAAAAATGCAAGCAGAATTTGTACGACTGAAAGCTGAACTTATTTGTTATCCCTTGGCATTGTTTCTTTTCCAGGGAGTGCTGTCTAATATCTCCTCCATCACCGACCTGGGAGGCTTTGATCCAGTTTGGCTCTTCCTAGTGGTAGGAGGAGTTATGTTCATTTTGGGATTTGCAGGATGCATTGGAGCTTTGCGAGAAAATACCTTTCTTCTCAAATTTGTAAGTAGGCTTTGCAGCTGTGGCATTCATCAGCTCCATAGCATAAGCTATGTTCTCTGTTCCTGCTTAGCTGTGTAAAGATTTTAAAATGTCTTTTGGGGAACGAAAGGTGTTACCAGATATGAGAGTGCTGTTCTGTGAATGCTTTTGCCTAACTGTTAGCGCTTTACAGCTCTTAAGTCGCTGTTGCTTACTGTTTTTTTTTTTTTAAGGATTGAAGTTATTGATGGTAAGATCATAATGTGGAACTACTGCTTTTTCATGTGGAATAAGGATATTTCATAAGGAATGTAGATACGGCACTGACTGTGACCCGTGTGATTTCTGCTGTGCAAGTGCCCTTCGTGGTGCAGAGGAGATATATTATGAGGGGTTGCTTACTGAAATTCTCAGTTCTGTGCCATTTAGCTGATTTGAAAAGGCTTCATTGCTTACATTGCTTACTTCATTACTTCAGTGCTGGGCCAGAGAGGGAGAAAGGGAGGATAGGTAAAGAAAATAGAAGCTGATGACGTGAACTCTGGGCTGGACTGTTAGTTAGGGAAGGAGCTGCTGATACACAAACAGATCTCAGTATTCAAAACTGCTTTAGCTAAGTAGCCTGGTTCTCTTCTCAAGTGTTCCTCCTCTGAGCTTTGAAGATGAGGATATCATGTTACATTTTAGATAAATTTAAGATTTATAATAAAAATTCAAGATTGTTTCTTCCACTACCACAACTTCCAGAGGTGGCCACAGCCTGGATAGTAATTGTGGCATCATAACCATTAACTGTTAATATGTACATGAAAAGGCTTTCAGTGGAACAACTGCCTTCAAGTGACGTATTTGTCTTCTACAGACATGTTGTATAAGGGGAGGAGGCACTTGAGAGTTACAGTTCTTGAGGCATTCATAAAGCAACTTGGAATAGTTCTAGCTTGTCTTGCTTAAAAATAAAAAAAAGGGTGGGGGAAGCTATTGTAACAGTTCACTTTTTTTTCCTCTTCCCTGCTTCTCTTAGCTTGCCTAGAATGAACCCATCTGCTGTACCAGAAATAGCTTCCTATACAGCAGCTGCAGGAGAAATTAAAAATGCATCTGAACAAACACAGAGAGCATATTAAAATGAAACTCAAAGGCGCAGTTGCAAAAGGGATGGGCTTCCAGTATATGAGGACCCCTGTGCGTTTTAAAACGGCGTAGACTCGGTGGAGATGCTTAGAGAAAGTGGCAGCTCGTTAGTAATGCCTTTGGCATCCATTGCATTTGCATTAATCATAGGAGCCTCATTTGGTTTTAATGTGGATGTGAGTCATTCCACAGACATTCTGCTCCGACTTAGTCATTAATTAATTTCTGCTGTTACCAATTTTTGCTTTGTCTGCTTAGGCAAAGCTTTACCAATGAGGGTGTCTAAAGAAAAAGTCACTTAGAAAGCATTTCACTGGCAGCATTGGTTTTTTATGCCTTGAAAATGTAAATGCCATCATGGAAATTAAAGATGAGTTTTCAGAAGGCCCTATAGGTGGTGAGTAGCCATCTCTGTTGAAATTAACAGTGAATTCTCTTGGACCTCTTTGAAAATGCCATTGAAATGTCCGAAGTTTGAATTTGTTGGTATTTCTATTATTTGCTAGAATAGAATTAAGATTCTTGTACTACAGCCCTAATTCATAGTGTATTTTTAATTTAAATTTTTTTTCTGTGCCAGAATAACTTGAACTTGCACTGAAACAGATAAAACATAACACTGGACATATTTGTGGGCCTTGAAAAATGAGTTTTTGATCAAAAAGCAAAATTATTTTAACCTTTTTCTTTTTCTTCATAGTTTTCTGTGTTTCTTGGAATTATTTTCTTCTTGGAGCTTACTGCTGGTGTTCTAGCATTTGTTTTCAAAGACTGGATAAAGGACCAGCTGCATTTCTTTATAAACAACAACATCAGAGCATACCGAGATGACATTGATTTGCAAAACCTTATAGACTTCACGCAGGAATATGTAAGTTGGCCTATGTTTATTTTTTGAAAAGCTTACTTTAAAGAAATACCTAATCTATTTTTTTTACTTCCCATCTGTTTGGTTTCTTCAAGGAACAACAGAAATATTTTAGCATAAAATATTTTTGAATATGTATATATATGTATATTTCTCTTCACAGAACTTCTACAAATACAGAGCACCTGTGAAAAGTGGCTTATTTGTTGATGTATGACTGAGCAAAACAAGGGGGAGAGTTGGTGTGACTTATTCTTGAAGACTTGTGTCAAACCTAGCAGTTAACCATTAGTGTCTTGTGTTCCATTTTTTGGAGCATATTCCATATGCCTATGAAGATATTTTAGGGTTTTTGGGGGGTGGAGTGTTCAAAATATTTTATTGTAGGACCTATCACATCCTTTTCTAAATAGCTCTTTCAAAATAATCCTTTCTCTAAGCTTGATTTGGTTCTGAGATGAACGTTTGTGTAGTTGTAGCAAAGTTAGGGGTGCTACACCATACTGCAGAGTGGCACCAGATGTTTAGCTGGTCTGAGTGAAAATACAATGTTATTTCTTTTTAAGTAGACTTAATGCAATGAGGCGAACAAAGTGGGCAACTCATAAAGTTCTCATAGGAGATCTCTAAATGACTACTTCTGCACTTGGGAGGGAAGGGTGAAACCAGAGATGCACACACTTGTGCAAGTTAAACTCTGTAATTTATCAATACGTGTAAAGGAGGCTTGTGGTGGCTTTCATACACAATTTATTTTGCCAGCACCTTCTTGCTTCAGTTCTGGTCTGTGTCTCTTTAAATTTGGCCCTATGTACCTAACATGGTTAAGCGCTGGTTGAAGTCACATTTACTAATTTCTGGATGTTCTGCAATTAAAATAATTTCTCTCACTGATTGATTTGCTTCCCTGTGTCTTGGGGTGGGGGGAAATGATGAGTAAGTAACAGGATGTGGATCCTTGCACTGGTTTGAATCTCATCTAGTTGGGAGAAGGTCAGAGATCACCACAGTCTGACAGTGGTTGTCAGCTTGTAAGTAACCGAAAGGCTACAGTCTGATTTTGCAGACGCTACATAAAACTTGCTCTCCTGACTGGATTAGCAATTCTAGCAGATAAGTCAGGGACAGCAAGACTGGAGAGCAAGCTACTTTTTCAGCTAGTAGAGATAATGCTTGAAGACATTTTCAGGGAACTGTGTGGACATTGCAGAGGGAACTGTGCTACATCTAGAAACACAGAATTGTCATTTCAACACTTTTGAAAATGTGGTTTGTTTGGGTTTTTTTAAATTTTATATAGATGGACCTAGATGGATTCATTGAGCTAGCTCATTAAATGCTGTAAACTGTCGAATGATCTCCAGTCTATTCTTTGTGTGTTCAGCAAGTTTTAACAATTCATTCAGCGTGTTTTGTCAGAGGCTAAGCCATTTGCCTTATTTACTTTTCTAAAGGATTCTGCCTGCCTTCAGTAAAGATGTTATTTGTGCGATGTGTGATGCTCAGGAAACAATATGTTCATTCTCTCTGATGTACAGCCGGGCAAAGATTCCCCCAAACTGGAAGAGAAATAACTATACCAGTATAGCCCTCAGAGCTGATTAATTCTGTTGAGAACCCAGGGCACATTGGATTGAGAATATCCTACTTTGGCTCTACTATCCCTAGGACCTGAGCTCATAGACCTGTGCAACTCTGTGGTGCTGTGTAGGCTTATCAGCTCACTCCGTGGGTTTCTCTCTAGAGAGCAGCATTGCAGGGTGTGAACATAACTTTAATCACATGATAATTGTAGAACAACTTAGAGGTTTGGAATGGTCTTTTGTTTTTTTAAAAAAAACACAAAAACGCAAACAAGTCAGCTTTAATGAAACCAGAGGAAATACCAGGTTTTGTTTTGAAAGCTGGAGGAAAACTAGCCGCAATGATGCATGTTACTAAGGCAGAGATATGTTTGTTCTGAAAGTCAAGAAGTTCTCCTTTCTTTCTTCTAGTGGCAGTGCTGTGGGGCTTTTGGAGCTGATGACTGGAACCTTAATATTTACTTCAATTGCACAGATTCCAATGCAAGTCGAGAGCGCTGTGGAGTGCCATTCTCTTGCTGCACTAAAGATCCTGCCGTAAGTCACAGTTGAGGGTAGGATGGTTCTGCTGTTCCAATTTTAATTGCTCTAAGATTTTATTTTTTTTCTGGAAGCCATGCATGATCATTACCTTGTCAACAACCTGTAGTTTTTTTTGTTCTTGCAGCTCAGCTTAACCACTGACTTTTCTGCAGTCAGCAAAAATCCCGAGCTAGCTTAAGTCTTCATCCTATGCTCTTTGCTGCTTTTCATTAGAATGAGAGAACCATGGGCTTGGCTGGGCATACATAATAATTTTAGCAAATATAAAAAGCAGAAGCTCTTAATGAGTTGAAGGATATTCAATTGAATATCATCAGGATATTTCATTCGCTGCCTTAAAGACCAGCAACTCTTAAGTTCAGACACTCTAAAGTGGGTATTACTCATTATTTAATGCAGTGTCCAGAGATTGCAGCTGGTTTGACCCAGTTTGTGCTAGACTGAATGACAGTCTATGCCCTGAAAAACTGACATGTGTTTGCATTAGAATCATGAGTTGGGTACGGACATCTTTACGTGCTCTTAATGCAGTGTCCAGAGATTGCAGCTGGTTTGACCCAGTTTGTGCTAGATTGAATGACAGTCAATGCCCTGAAAAACTGACATGTGTTTGCATTAGAATCATGAGTTGGGTATGGATATCTTTACATGCTTCTTTTTTTCCACTTAAAAACTACTGCTTGTCCTACAGTCACCTGAAATCAGACTTGAAAGGTCAGAAATGGTTTGAGGGAACAGCTTTTTGGTAAATTGGGTAAATCTCCATGTCTCTTTAAGTGGTTATAGTTCTGGATCATCGAGCAGAAAATGTTAGAGCCATGCATTACTAGTACAGACATGACCAAGAATGAAGGGTAAAGTGTAAGGAAGCATTTCACCGACAGTGAAAGGCTTGGAATAGGGATGGGTGAGTGCACGGAAACTGTTATGTGGCTAACACTGCATACATGTGACATTCATATAGCTTAAAAGAAAGCAGCCTGGAAGCATTTGTATTATCTAGTAGTTCAGCTGTGGCTTTTTCTCCACCTGGAGTGACTTAGAATTCCCTGAATGTATGGGTCTGTAGCACTGCCTAAAGTTAGGCAACAGGCACCTCAGGTGCTTCCTGACTTGCTAATACAGTGCAGTCCCTGCTCCCAGCATCCACTCGCTGCTGCTGCTCTCCCCCTCCCCTGATAAGCCCCTGCCACTTGCACGAGCTGCATTCTGGTTCCTCTTCAGGAGGAACCTGAATCTCCCCTCTCCTGATAAGCCCCTGCCACTTGCATGAGCTGCATTCTGGTTCCTCTTCAGGGAACGTGTTTTCACAATAGTATACAGTGCAGTCCCTGCTCCCAGCATCCACTCACTGCTGCTGCTCTCCCCCTCCCCTGATAAGCCCCTGCCACTTGCACGAGCTGCATTCTGGTTCCTCTTCAGGAGGAACCTGAATCTTTTTAATCTTTCTCACAAACATAGCTGAATTTTTTTAAGTGAAATATTAAAGCAAAATGTAGGTTAGGCTCGAGCGTTACATTATGCTTAGGATTCCCCCTACTGTTTGCCTCTCTGCCCACCCACCCACACAGAGAGGTCATCGCAACCCAGTTTTAAAAATATAGTTGTTATAAAACCAAACCAGTGACAGCAGTACAAGGTAATCCTATAAATACATAATCCATGCTAAAGTTCTCTCTCTCGTTTTGTGTATATATGGTTATGCAGTTTCTTAAGCGGTGATGCAGCAACCAGTAATTTAAAGATAAGTCTCACTCTTATTCATTGTAGGGGGAAGCAACATGCTTAATTGACTTTAAAATAAAGACTAATAATATTTCTAAAAATATTAGAAGTCATGCATATAATGGATATAATTGTAACCAAGCTGTGACTGGTTCAATTGCCATGATAAACACAGGTTTATTCTGTAGGAAAGCAAATTTGTCCTTTTTGGAATTAGAAAACAGAAAGTTATGTGGATACTTTATTGAACAGGGCTTACTTTTAGTTTAGATTTTAGTTGTTTCTTAGGGGCTGATGCAGCAACCAGTAATTTAAAGATAAGTCTCACTCTTATTCATTGTAGGGGGAAGCAACATGCTTAATTGACTTTAAAATAAAGACTAATAATATTTCTAAAAATATTAGAAGTCATGCATATAATGGATATAATTGTAACCAAGCTGTGACTGGTTCAATTGCCATGATAAACACAGGTTTATTCTGTAGGAAAGCAAATTTGTCCTTTTTGGAATTAGAAAACAAAAAGTTATGTGGATACTTTATTGAACAGGGTTTACTTTTAATTTAGCTTTTAGTTTAGCTTGAATTGGGAAAAGGTAAGTTTAAAGTAGGCCAAAATGTCTCCTTTAAAACGAATTTGAATTCTTATAGTTCATCTTGGTGTAGTTTAGCAGGTTGAAATGTTCCAAATTCCTGGACAGGCAAGGCCAAGAAAAGTTGATTTGTTTCCATTTCATTCTTCATGCTTTGTTTTGGTTAACGAATTCTAATGCTAAAGGCAGAAGATATTGATAATAAAGCAAGCAGGGATTCAGTGCAGAGAATAAAGCTTAAAATCCCTCCCTCAACTACTTCTACAGCCTTGAAGTGCGTGACACTTTTATTTTACATCCTGGAAAACAAGCATTCATGTCATTAAAAGATAAAAATTGCTCAAATCTTAAAGGTCCATTGAGGGAATCCAACTTGGGTGACTGACAGGATGTGACCTTTTGATGTACTTCCTACAAAGTGAGGAAACACTTAGAGGAGCTTTAACTGGTAATAGGAGATATCTTTTTCTGTATGGCTGCTATTTAAAATTTGTATCTCTGCTGGCTGCCTTTCTCACTTCCCAGAATCTGTTTAAATTGAGATGTTCGGTACACCTAGCTAGAATTGGCTAGAATCACACTTCCTTGAGTAGTCCCTTCTTCTGCTCATTGTTATTATATGATCTACTAACTTCATGTTTTGCTGCCATTGTGGCTGACACCCAAAGTAGTGGCAAAGTAGTGACACACCAAAGTATTGCCCTGAAATAACTGTGCATACAGAGTAAAAGCAGCTTCAGCTTCCAATAGATAGCACTTGTTCACTAGGAAAAGTCTGCCATAGGCTATTTTATATTACCTGTGCTTTGGCAGTACTAAAGCAGCGGCAGTAAGAAAAAAAGCCCTTTGTTCTCATTGATATCAAGGTCCTGTAAGAAAGAATAGATAGTAAGAACACATGACCCCATCTCTTCTTTTTCCTCCCTAGTTTTTGGAAAGGAACTAGGTACTGTTTATATTTCTACAGCCATCCTTGGTAAGAAACTGCAACAGAACTGCCCCTTCTCATCTCTTCATGCTGCACAGACTGAATCCTGGAAATGTTAACAGTAGTCTTGGCATATTTTTTAGTCTAGACAAAACCTTTTCAGGAGAGGTTCTTTCACTTAAAATAGATGTTCCCTCTCCCTACACTTTGACTTCTGAATGCTTACAGCTGGAACATGGAGCTCACCCAGGTGGAGGGCCAGTTGTCACAGCTGGCTGCCCTGAGAGCTGAGAGTATTTTTTGACCATATGCTTTTGTTTGTTGCAAATAATTAATAGCACTGAATGGAAGAGGAAAGGGATTTAAAGAAGCAATGTTGTAACTGAAGTTTGGGTGACTTATTATGTAGGGGACCACCTCAGGGGAGCTGGGAGCGAATGTTTGGGAGACACTTCACTGATTTCCTCTCTTCTGTCTCTCTCTCCTAGGAAGATGTTATTAATACTCAGTGTGGCTATGACGCAAGGCAAAAACCAGTAAGAATTTTTTTATTTATTAATGTGGTATCTTAAGGATATGAACCTCTCGCAACAGCAGGTTGTTCTACTGATGGGATAGTTGAATGTAATTATCTCTGTTTTCTTCCCTCTTCTCCTTGGCAGGAAGTTGATCAGCAGATTGTTATCTACACTAAAGGCTGTGTCCCTCAGTTTGAGAAATGGTTGCAGGACAATCTTACCATAGTTGCCGGTATATTCATTGGGATAGCATTACTGCAGGTAAACATCACTTTCCCTGTAATAAGTTATGCAGAACAACAACAGACAAATAGAAAACATGAGGGGGGAACTGTATATGAGAACTGGAGATAGTGTCAGTTGCACTTAAAATGTCTGTAGGTTTTAGTGAGGGGAGCTAAATGCATGAGGCTTTATTTGTATTAAGGAGTGTTTAATTTTTGTCTGTCGGGATGCATTTTTTTTTTCTTTTCAACTCTGTGCAGGTCAAAACTAACACTGTATTAAGTAAAGATTAGGTAGAGATTTTTAAGCCTGTATGGACCTACCATTTCTGATGGCGCTTAAATAGGTAGCGAAAAACTTTTGCAGTTGTTTTTGTGAAACAAGTCTAGAACAATTCAATTTCTTGGAACTCAGTGACACTTCAAAAATACTGGAGTTACAGGAGTCTTTTAATATCCTTCCTTCTTCCAACACTTACTGTTCATTTGATTTTTAACTTTCTGTTGCTTACTTTCATGTCAGTTCTGTATAACCTAAGGAGTTTGCCTGTGTGAAGAGTTGTCTGATGCTCCAAATGAATAAACTGTTGTCTCTTCCAGATATTTGGGATATGCTTAGCCCAGAATTTGGTTAGTGACATTGAGGCTGTCAGAGCCAGCTGGTAAAACTGCTGAAGTAACCACAACAAGACACTGGACAACCGAAACCCTCTGAAACCTCCAGTGTGTCGCTCCGACACCAAGCTGTACGGACATGGGTGACAGGGAAGCCTTCTCTCCCAAGTAGTCTCAAGTCTAAGTTCCTGATATTGCAGTGAACTCGTGTTTCTTTGGAGTGGGGGAGAGAAGAGTGGGCTATTTAAAATCTGCTGCTCACTGACAATTTTTTTTGTTTGTTTTAAAACCACCAGTTTGAAAGCTGTTGAGCCGTGAATCTCTACTGTATTCTTGATCCTGAGTAACAAGTGGACACTTTTTTAAAATTGGTGTATTCAGTGGGACAGAGTTGCATCGTTGTAGTCTGTGGGTATGCTGTTTATTCTTCGTGTCATGAGGTCTTCGATAGCTGCCAAATATTCCTGAGATGGTCTCTCTCCTCACCACTCTGTAAAGGAACGATCTTCTTTTCACAGCTAAACATAGCTACAGGCCTAAACCCGCCAAGCAGGAAGCAACTTTCTATGCATCTATTGTACAGTCAAAGAAATTGTTTTTAAAACAAGGGAAAATTTTTTACGCAAGCTTCCAAGCATCTCCCTGTAGTACTTTGAGGTTGGAATCAGCAAGCTCACAGGGAGAATTGCCTAATTTTATCAACATCTTTCTTCCTTTCTCCACCCTTGTATGAAGGGAAAGGAGTTTTATATTTGAACAAGGGTTGTAGAGCCTTTGGTTGCTGCCATACCTTAGGACGTCAGCCTCTTAAGGCAAGGATGGGATATAACTGTATAAATGTATGAAAGCAGTGTGGATGTTGGGTCCAAGTTAATAATGTTATTCAAAGAATGAATTATATATTAACTTAAAAAAATCAAACCATGTATCTGATATGGCAACATCTTTTGTTTCTCTGGAATTTAGTGTAACCTAATGCATTTAGGGATCTCACTAATATTAGTGCTTTGATATACTTGTACAAAACTTCTTTTAAGATTGGTCTGTTCTTAGCTGACGCTTCGGTTTTTTTTCCCTTTTTTCTTAAATTCTTTTTACTTGCATGAGCTGTGGAGTAAGAATCTATGACACTCCAGTGCTTTAAATCTGTGCATATGTTTTAATACAGTCTAATCCAAACTTATTTATTGGTAAATGCATGTGATTATGGAAAGATCATATCCCATTCCCATGGAAGCTGGAGAGAACAGCTTTTACCACAGTAAATGCTTACCTACAGGGAACAAATCCTTGTTATGGAGATGTGTCTCCCTTTGTTGCTCTAACTGCAACAAAAAGCTTTCTTGAAGCAATGGAATAAAAGTTTTAAAATACTAGCGCGTGTTAGGATCAACCAAGACAGACTCTTCTGAATTGGACAAAAGAGAGTAGAATTTGGAACAAAGCACAAATAGTGGAAGAAGAATTAGATCAGACTCCATCCAGCTTCGAGTTTTTGGTTCATTCTTCTTCACTAATAATAGTGAACTTATAGACCTGACCATGGCTTGGGTAGTTTTATTGCACTTTGTATAAATTCAGTGTGTTGTATGATCCTTCTCAGTATCTGCAGAACCAGTCCTGAAAGCTGTGAACTCTCGGCTCACTGGTCAGACAGTGGCACCTCTTGTAAGAACTTAGCATTTTTCTGAGATGAGCTTCTGAGATGAAGTGCGTGGAGTTGAAGAGATGAATGCATTGCTTTCAAAGCTTCCCAAAGCTTCTGGATAGAAGGCTGGTCTGATGACCAATTAAAATCCTTTCTGGTCTTACGACTCTTAAACATGTCAGTATATGGACCCTTCCATATTTTGCCTTTCTCTGCTTTAGGTGGCCATGTTTTTTTCCCCTCTGAAGGCTGGTGGTAGGCACACCGGCGCATGTAGATGCTGCAGACAGTCCTGTTGTCCTCCTGTCTTTGAGCATTACCTCATCCTCTTCTTGTTAACTCCCACTGACTGGCTCTGAATCAGGCAGCCTCCATATCCTTTGGTATCTGCTGTTAAAGGCCAGCCGTGACTCAGTAATTATTTTTTTTAAAGCCTTTGAAAGCAATTATAATTCACTGTCCTTAATAAAGTTGGTTCCACCTCACCACAGTGTTACGTTTTTCTTGGCCACTTCTCAACTTGAGGAGTTCCTGGTGTTTGTTTCCCCCCAGAGGGACACACCGATTTGCCTGATAGCAGCAGGACAGACAGATCATCGGCACCAGTGTTGCTGCACTGAGACAAAAGGGGGCAGGGAGAAATCAGGGAAGGGTGGTTGAGGAAGTAACCCCTCCACCCAAGAGCCTTGATTGTGACCCAGCGCTTTGGTTTGGAGAAGAAGAAAAAAAAAATCCTACATTACAGAAAGATTCCTTGTTACCACTGATCTAGAACACTGCTGTTGCTGCTGTGGGCTTTTGAAGACAACTTCATTCTTCTACTTGAATTTCTGCGGTTGTACTGTATTGGTCTTCAGTCTTGTCTCACTGCTGAGTCCCAGTCTGCTGGACCTGCTGTTGGCAGTGATAGGAAGGTAAATGCTCTGAGTGAGCCAATCTTGTTCTCACTACTTGCACGTGTACACACAAATGTGCAACACTTCTGCTGAGTCCCAGAATGACTGACTGTTCTTAAAAAACCACTAAATAACTTATTTTTCTAGAGCTTGTCTATTGCTGCAGATGCTGATCCTCCCCCATTCCCCACTCCCAAGAGAAGCTCTTATTTTCCTCGTTTTTGCAGTTGTTTGATGGGTGAATACTGAATGTTCAGGATTAGCTGTCTATATTGCACATTTAAATCCCACAATTTTTTTTTTTTGTCTACAGATTGGGTAAGATGTCCTAGAAATGCCCCATCAGCAGCTTAGGTGTCCAGTTTGGAAAGCTTATGGGAGGCCTTGGAAATCAGTCTATTATTGCCAGAGCCTGCTAAATGCAAACAAGCTTTCTTCCAGAAAACTTTGTGAAAACTTCAGGTGAGCTGCAGCTGGAGCACAACTGCTGGCTACACAGGCTCATTTCCTAAAGCAATAAGATATGGTAGGTGGTTTGACTTCCTGGCAATTTCTGGCCTGCCTGGTGTGGTGGTGGGGTAGATGTGAGTTCAGAGGTCAGTCTAATTATCTTTAATGTGCAGTGGTCCTTCAGAAACTTTTTGGCAGGCTTACGGCCCTTGTGGAAGCAGCTCTGTTTGGGTGATTCGTATGGGTTGGTGGTGTTGCTAATGAGAGGTCTGGTAGCTTCAGCAGTAGCCCTGGCTTTAAAGCCATTTCCAGCTTCCCCGCTGAGCCCTGCCAAAGGGCATCACGATCCTTGCTCCTCTGCTTTCTAAGTACTCTCCATGTTCACAAGCCTTTCTGTTGTTTGATTTTTTAAATTTTTTTTTAATTAATAACCTAATGGACAAAGGTTTGATTTTTCTCTGTGTGTCTGTTTCAGTAGCAGTAGGATCTCTTTGCTTCAAAACCCTTAATTTTGATTGTGCCCCTTAGAATTTGAAGCTGTGGAGATGCTTGCTCAAGTGTACTCTGTCCCGAAAGCCTTCTTCTCTCCCCTTTGAGAGAGATGCTAATCGTAGTCCTGGTGTGTAAATAGTGTTTGAAATGTAAATAGTAGCATGCGGATGAAATGATTCTTGCACATGACTGCTTTTCAACCTAAAAGTGTTTATTATAGATGTATGAAAGGTGTCCAGGGTGAGAGTTTGCTGATGGGAACGGCGGGGCGGGAGCGCTCGCATCGCCTGCCCTCTAGCGGCGGACCGGCGGACCGGCAGCGGCCATGGCGGGGGGAAACCCTGGCCAGGTTGGGGCTCTGGTTGGCAGCAGGACCTCCCTTGCCTTTCCCCCTTGCCCTCTTGGCATTAGAAAAGCATTAGTCAGCAAAGCAGAGGGTGGGACTTGGCACCCGCTACCGGTTACAGGAGGTTGGCATCGCTCGCGTCAGGACTAAACATGGTGCTATAAGAACCGTCCTGGACGTTACCCTGTGTTTGTACTGCTTTAGTGATGCTCTTGGTGAAATTGATCCTGATTAACAGTGTTGGTTGCAAGAGAAACTCTCACGTGAATCTTTGGTTCCATTTCCTTTCTTTCTGTGTGTGCCTTTTGGGTGCATTGAAAGGGCAGTTCTGCAAATACCTAGGAAGGAGATTAGATCTTAACAGGTGTCAAGCACTGTTGAAGGTTCCAGTTCCTCCCTCCCATTTTTTGATTTCTCTCTGAAGCTTTTTCAGATATCTGTAATTGGTCATGAAACTGTCTAAAGCAAACAAAATAAAACTACCCTGTTGGATCCATTAGCTACCAAATTTTGCCACTTGAAGAAAAGAAAAAAAACCCCCATCTGTGTCCCTTAACATATGGTTATAAAAATAAGTGTTGTGACTACTAGTGTGAACCAGGCAGCACTGCTGACTCTCTTCTGTGTTTCGGCAATATAAATGTGTTAATAAAAAGCTCCATCCGTATGTGTGTTCATGTTCAGGCTGTGTACATAGTAGAGATGGACCTGGTACTATCTTGAGCTCTGGGGAGACTGAGATTTGGGTTTTATGACTCAGGCCTGTCTCTGATACGTGTATTCCAGGTTAGTTCTGACTGAATCTCTCTCTCTGGTTCATCTGGGGTGTACGGCGAGGTGTCGGTATTTACCCTTTGTGTATCATTCCTTTTTATACGAATGTATTCTCTTGTGTTCCTGTTTTTTTTTTTTTTTATCGGTTGTAAAATTGATTGTAAAAGCCAACTACACTTACCGATGGAAAGTATTGCTATAACAGAACTGCATGCCCGGTAGAGTTTGACTTGAGCTTTAGTTTTCCAATTTCAGACTGGTTACCTTCGGTCTAGGAGAAAAGCATAGATCAGGTGCATAATGTATTACTTGTCATCTTTAGCATTAGACTGTGGTATTGTATCACATGCTGATCTCAATGGATGTAACTGGAGTCTACTTGGGAAGTTAATGCAACTTCCTGGTAATTCATTTTAAGCTATTGAAAGTGGTCTTGATCATGCTACTTGTGTTCTTGGGTTTTTGTTTTTTAATAGAGGCATTTTTTAGGAATGTTTTAATACACTTATGATGGACAATACAATAGTTTTAATAGTTGTGCAGTATTCTGTATTTACTTGAAGTAAATCATTTTATATGCAATTTGTTAGATAATTACAATTTTATAAATAAAATTGCGTGAAATATGATGTTGTGAATGTGTACTCTTGCTGTAGCACTTAACACTAACAGTACAAAGATACACGCATGCAAAATTCCTCCAGGGGAAGACCCCCTGCCTGCTCTCCCCCAAAGTAACACGGGGAAATAAATCCCCAAGTCTCTCATATACAGTGTAAAATATTGTGATCTACTTAAGTCACAAAAAATATCGTGCTGCCAGTGGTTGCCCTTGAATAATAAGGTTAATTGGTGAAGAGCACATCCCTACATGAGGAGATCCCACATCTACTGTCAACTGCTGTTGAAGTCTCTGGCTAATGAACGTGCTCTGCTTCTTTTTGACAGGTCGTCGGTGTTCCTCAGACCGCCCGGGCTGCTGGTTAGTGCAACGCTTGGCGCTTTCCCCATCATCACTTCAGTGACCCTGACGTGTTCAGAAATTGCTGCTTTGCAGGGAGCAGCACAAAGGGGATTTGTCATGACTTAATTAAACTTTTGTAAAGGGAGGTGGGAATTTCCCTTTTCTAAGTGCAACGTGTCCTTAAACAAGTGGTGAGAGCTGGCTTGTCTCATGGTGCAGGTAAAATCAGGTAATGATGCCTTGTGCTTGTTTAGACAGCAGAAGACAACCACCATTTTTTTAGTATTTCAAAAACTGTAGAGCAAGCTAATCCCATTCAATGTCTCAAACCTATGGTTTTGTCCACAAAACACCAGCATGAATGATTTAAAAGCACACCTCTATATCCAAACTGAAGTCCAGTATTTTTTGCATGTTTCAGGCATATACATTTATCTGAATGTATGGAAATGACTTAGCATATAAGAATGCAAATGTGGAGGCCTTGTGGGGAGAGGGAAGGGCAAAAATCAACCAAAAAGCAGCAAAGTCGAGGGGATTGTCTGTGACTTCGTAATGTGCAATAGGTGTGACACACTTGGATAAGCCATTTTCACAATGGAGGGGGAGGCTCGGAGTGGCTACCTGCGTTCTGTCAAATTCTTAGCAGACTTGCTTACCAATTCTTGAAGTTGAGCCTAGTTACCGCTTCTAGGACTTCTGAAACAAATGACCTTTTCTGGATCTTGTGGTTTTGTTTGACCAATGGGTCCTCTGGATCCAAGGCCCATATTGTTGGGGCTTCTGCCTTACCCAAAGTGGAACTTTTCCTTGTATTTCCACACCATGAAATGTGAAAATGTGTGTGTGCTTTTTATCTTCCTGAGTGGCGTGATGTTTGGCATCACTGTCAAAATAGTCTGAGCAGCAGCTGTTGAGCTTTGCTTAACCTATCTACTAAATGTCTGACCTGTCTAGTAATCAGAGCTATTGTCAGCAATTCAGTTTAGGTGATTTGAGTTGAGTGGTGAAATGCACGACAGTTTCTCTTACTACAAGAGGCTGGGAGCATAACTGATTGACCAGCTCCATAGAGATGACCTGCAGGCTGCAGCACGCCTCAGAGCACCACGGCGTTTGTGTGGAGAGATGCAGCCTCTTCAATTACCTCCTTCCACCGCAACATGCACCCCTCTTTGCCCTTGCACAGATTTTCCTTCTGTGGACAGGCTTAGCACAGGTTTTATCTAGAAATGTAAGGCACTTGATGTTTCATCCAAGGAAACCGTCTGAAAGTAGAAGGATATCAGCATTGGCCTTTGTTTGTGCTTGCTGTGACAGTAGTATCCCTAAAAATAATTTGGTGATAAGGATGTGGCTAATGCTTAACCTGAGATCCAGTTAGACAACCAGGGGAATGGGAATTTTGTCAGCATCGCAACTTTGTCGGTTACGATCGCCTCATGTGAGCATTTGCAGTTTATACTGATGTCAAAAGGAATAGTCTCTTTATAGAGCCAGGTAAGTCATTGGTAACTGGTCTTTCAAATGTATTTTGGGATCTGTTTAAATCCATGGGAATTATTTCCATGCCTGAGGAAACCTGGGCTCTGGTGGGGTCGCAGCGAGCTGTGACTGTAAGTGTGCTGGTTGTGCTCAGCAGTGCAGAGGGTCTGTGCTACACGGAGCCTGAAGTGCTGGGGTGCTGGTCTGTGTTCACAGCTCTAGCCTCTGTTTGTGGCTTTATTGCACTATTGCTAGCAAATGTCTTTGGAATGTTTGTTGTTTTTTTTTTTTTTTAAAAAATAAGAGGCTGTTGTGCAGTTTAGTATTAGAGGCTTTTTCTGTGTGTTAAATCCCCTGGATTAAATGGACGTGGAGTCTCTGCTGTGCGAATACTCTGTAGTGTCCACTGTGTTTTGGTACAGTCTTGGAGCTTAAACTGACTATTTGAGGCAGGTTTCTTTTCATACCCTTTCATACCCTTTCCCCATCACGACTGGCATCTTCTCATCACTGTGTCTGCGGGACAGCCAATGGTTTCATGGAACTGGGAAGTTAATTTGGGAAGGTCAAAAGCAGTATTTTTGCAACCATGTGGCATGTGACCGCGTGGGGGCTTGACCTCTGGGTTTGCTGCCTCTGCTGAAAGAAGGAGCCAGAAACTTGTGGTGCTGACGCTTCAGCACTGGGAGTGCTGAATTCACTTTAAAATGCTACAGGCCTTGTGATCTTTGTGCATTGCGGGCTCGATCAAGCTGGACAATGGTATTGCACAGTCAAAGATAACGTGCTGGTTTGCTGGAAACTGCTATCCCAACTGCTGCCTCTTTGCCAGGGTTGTCTGGAGTTTGCTTGCTGGCATGTTACAAACCTACAAAAACAGGAGCTATGAGATAAGATACTGAAACTGGCAATTTCCCAACTCCTTTTCCTAGGAAAGGAGAAAAAGGAAGACTTTTGCATCCTGCATGTCTTGCTCCATGGGAGTTGAAAATGAAACCATTGAAAAGTTGTTGCAAGATACGCCTTTAAAAATCCATCTACAAACAAACCCCAGCAAACAAAAGGCCAATCCCAAGCAAGACCTAGAGCACTCTGAGCCCCGTGGCTTTATGGGGTAAGGATTGTATAGTGTATTCTTGTTAGAATGCACGATTGTTAAACCACAGAGTGCCTCTGTGTGAGCGAACACAGTGAAAGTGGCTGGAATTGTTTCCTTTGTAATGGCTCAACTGAAAGGCAGTGATTGCGCTGGGGCCACAGCCAGGAACAAAGAGGGCTCCTCACCAGTGCGTGGTGGTGCAGTCGCGGCTCCTGCATGTGACTACAGAAAAGGACAAACCACAGGATAAAGTGAGAGCACTGAAATTTTTATTTGTTACCTCTAGGTACCACGAGTTTGACATTAATAGGCAAGACCAGTGAATGAGCAGCAGTACATTGCATTCAAACCTGAATCTCCAAAGCACCAAAAATGGAGCTAGATTTACTTCTTAATCCTACAGTCAGCACACTAGTCTGGACTTGCTGCGTCTTGTATTGTCCCTAATTTAGTAGTACATCGTTATGCAGTTAGGGGGCGTGAGGAAAGAGTCATCGTGTAGTACCACTTCTACGTCATCATAGGACTACAACATGCACATTCTACTATGTGGCCCAAGCAACAAGAATACAAGTAGAACAGTTACGGGTGGAGACAGGTTCATGTTAACACCACCTATGAATTTGTAGAAACCTTTTTGGACGGGTACCTACAGCAGTTCATCAATTTGTGTGGGGACATTACACGCATGCACGAGTGATACAGTGGAAAACATAGCGGGAGCGGCAGCAGGACGGAGGACAAAGGTGAAATCTGTGATGGGATGCACTTGGAAACAAGACCTTCCTCAGCTTTCTACAGCAAGTCTCTGCTCTGTTAGCGAGGCCTGCTGGGCAACAGTTTTGTTCTCATGGCTGCGGAGTTTTGACACGACTTCTAGAAATGCCATGCTCTGCACTTCCTTTTGAAGAGGTTCTGGAAAAAGGAACAGTAAAAGAAAAGGTGCTTTGTATGAGACAGGCAAGAGAACAGACAAGCTCCGTGCGCGTGAGAAACTTCTCTACTGAACCCCGAGACGCGTAAGCACACAAATGTGTGTGTACACATCATCTTTTTATTTACTTTTTTGAATTGCTTTTGAGGATGGAGAGAAAACTGTCCAGCACCTGGGGGCATGCTCAGACTCCACAGATTTGAGATAGAGGTGAAGGATGAAGCAGCTGCTTAAGAAATTCCACCTGGACTGCCTTCCAAAACAGATGCTTAGGAAGTCATTTTAGTGAAAATATTTTTCTGCTTTATTCCTTAAACTAACTTGCCTTGAAAAGTTCACTGTGGTGTTTGTCTGTATCAAATCAGCTCTTGTTGTTTGTGTAGAGGTGTGAGGGGAGTGACACAGTTCTTCAGTGGCCGTGTCACCACTGGGTCACCGTTGGCTCCCCGTTTACAGTTCAGCTCTGAAGTTCATACAAACACAACACACGGTGCGTTGCCCAATGCTGCGTACGTACATGCAGCGCTTGTTTTACTCAAAACTGCCAGACACTTTTACAATTGTGATCCTCGATTGCACTGTACTTTGTATTAACAAGGAAAGGTTGGGAACAACCCATAAGATTGAGGAATTTTTAAAGAAAATTTGAAGAGTTTTCTCAAAGCTGTGTACTAGATATCTCACAGTTGAGATCCAAAGCAGTCGGTCTTGTTTCAGGCCACTCTAGCGAACTCCTACTCAGCAACAGACACCTACATACTTTTTTTTTTCTTTTTGCTTCCCAGGTGCTGCTGGGGGCCTAATCCCTGAGCTTCCCAGGAGAAATACCAACCATCTGTTTCAGATTAGCTATGCTGTATGCTATGCACATTTACTTTTTTTTTAATAGCAAATTTGACATTCGTTTCCTTTCCTGTCTACTTTCTTGTTCACATGTTTTCAGTTTCTTGCAGTTTAACCCCTACTGTGTAAGAGCTGGGAGCTCTCACTCTGCTGTGCACCTGGGAACCTCTATCTACAGAGTGATACCAGTGAAGCTGTTGGGGTGGTTATGCTGCATATGCGCTCCCTGCTCTCTTTCTCAGATTTCTGAAATATCATCATGTTTCAGCAGGAGTTACTGAACTGAATATCAGGAATTCACTGTGCCTTACAGTGGCTGAAAACTTCTGTTTAACGTCCAGATTCCTGTGGGCCTGGAGACCCTCGCACACAGACAGGACTGTGCTGGCTATGAATGCTCTGCCTTTGCTGATTCTTTCTTACATGTTCCCATTTTCAAATGTTCTCATTCTTCCCTCTTTCCATTCGTTTGTTGCAAAAGCAACTTCCAGATGGCAAAAATGACAAATATATATATCTATTTACTACTTAACACACAGCTGTTGGCAACATCAAGTTAAATGTGATGCCAGATGCCCTGTAACAAAGGACAGTAACAACAGCGGTCACTGGAGAATTAAACTTTCCTGTAATTAAATCACTTCTAGGCTTTATGGAACTATACTGGGATCAATTACTTTAAAATGGCTACACAGGGCTGTTTACAGCAGAATACAGAAACATGCAAATATAAATACTCACTGTTTGGAGACAGTGGTGAAAGTAAGAGGCAGAGCTGGGAGGGACATGTCTATTATTATTTTCATGTGTAAAGAGCAGACTTGGCTCTTTGATTTCCCCCCCCAACCTTGGTTAAACCCTAAAAAATCCCCTAAAACAAGACCACTCCTTACTCTGGTGGAATAGAGAGCGAGGTATTTGACTTTAAATAACTCTGTCAATCCTGCAGGTGACAAGACTCGGGGAAGGAGAAAGGCAAGTGTCAGGCAGAATTTCGGAGGATGATTATTTTAGGCCGAAGCAGTGGGAACACACGAAAGGACATCACAGTGAGGCTGAGGAGAGAGGCTGCTGCTCTAAAATGGATGGGTAATCCCAAGCACAAAATGGCTCAATAAGGTTGTGAGTAAAATCTAAATTATGCCTTAACATTAAGTGAATCATTAATGGAAGCTAAGGCTTGCTAGCAAATTTTGAGCAAAATCTTTGTATATTGATATGTATATACAATATAACAGTATATACTATTCTGGTCTCGTGAGACCCCACCTGGAGTACTGTGTCCAGCTCTGGAGGCCCCAACATAAGAAAGACATGGACCAGTTGGAGAGGATCCAGAGGAGGAGGGCCATGGGGATGATGAGAGGGCTGGAGCACCTCTGCTATGAGGACAGGCTGAGAGAGCTGGGGTTCTTCAGCCTGGAGAAGAGAAGGCTCCGGAGAGACCTTATAGCAGCCTTCCAGTACCTGAAGGGGTCCTACAGGAGAGCTGGGGAGGGACTCTTTGTCAGGGAGTAGAGTGATAGGATGAGGGGTAATGGTTTTAAATTGAAATAGGGGAAATTTAGATTAGGCATTAAGAAGAAATTCTTTACCATGAGGGTGGTGAGACACTGGAACTTGTTGCCCAGAGAATTTGTGGGTGATGTTCAAGGCCAGGCGGGATGGGGCTTTAAGGAACCTGGTCTAGTGGGAGGTGTCCCTGCCCATGGCAGGGGGGTTGGAACTAGATCTCTATGGCCCCTTTCAACACAAACCATTTGATGAATCTATACTGCTCTAGAAACAAGTATTTGTTCCCTTAAGATGACAGTAATGCAGCGTTCACTTGCATAGATGTACAGGTCACCAGTATTACACTTAGTTTAGAACTCTGTTTAAAAACAACAAGGAAAAATGCAGCTTTGTTTACAGAGGCAGCACACACTCAACTATGGTATCTTTTAATCAATTCAATTGAATTGCTGCAAACTCAACTGTGGAGAACCTTCAAATGTTTCACACTTGGCAAGTTGTGTGCAGACAGGCTCTGAGTTTCCACCTTTCTGTACTTAATCCAGTTCTTTGCCATCTTGGTTGTCTGTAAATTCTGAAACCTTTATGGAATGAAATTTGCTCTCCTTTTACAGAGTAAATACTTTTTAAAGAACTGAATGAAAGAAACATAGACACTTCTTAAAACCTCAGCTGGAAATCCAATTTGCCCATGATACCTTCCTCTTTTTTTTTCATTTATTTGTTTGGGGTTTTTTTGCTTGCACACACAGAGGTGGGAAGTTGTGATATCAAATCATAGCCTGCTCCACCATCCTCAGAACAGTCTGACCTTTAGCAGAGGGTTAGCTCAGAAAGATTAGACTTCAGTGTCCAGCATTGGCATGTGTTAGAGCGTGTCCTCCTTGTCTTGTCATGTGAGGGCTGCTAAGGGAAGGACTCTTCCTAGTGGGCTAAGTGTGAGGATCCCTCCTCAAGCAGGATTATAGCCTAACTGCTGTACGAAGTACTCATTTGGGTGTGCGTGTGTCTTTACAAATATTACCTCTATCTTTGTTTCCTCCAGTTCTTGTAGTAATTTAAAACTGTAAGTGAGGAGGCTGTGTGCCTTACTTGACTAAGTTTACCGATTAGAAAAAGCCAATCACACATCACGGCAGCTCAAGTTGAAAATAAATTTCTTGTTATCTGCATATTTGGAAAGACAGTCTGATACTGTACAGTTTTAAATGCCTTTCATTTCTCTCCTGTCAGTTGAAGTTTGAGTGAGCTGCATCCTGCAGATCCAGAGTCCAGTTTTGGCAGTTAATATCCAAAAGTGAGTTAACAGCCTCTTTCTTGACACTATAAATAAACACTATAAATGAAGTGTGATAGTAAATTGAATCCTTCTATGTACCTTCATTGTGAACAGAGAACCAGTCTGAGTGTGTTTGCACACATTCTACATTCAGGCTAAAAGAGAGCGCTAAGGTTAAATCCACAAATCTCTTAGGAAAGCAGCCCCTCCTGAATACTCACCAGATCCTATAAGGGCACAGATCAGCACCATGGAGTTGTATTTTATTTCTGGAGCACTCCTGTCGTCTGAGAGCAACCTGTGTAGAATCTGAACAAGCTGAGCATTTTCGAGATCCTTTTCGGCAGTGACTGAAAGACAAGTGAAAATTCGTAAATCTGGAACTGCTGCTTTTTTTGGTGTTTCTGTGCATTAGCTGATTATTGAAACGTGGATCTCTTAACGTAGTGAAAGTGGTGCTGTGATACATAACTCACTGGCATAAATCCAAAGCACGTATCAGATGGTACAATGACAGGAATCACACATCTTGCTATAAAAACGTAAAGTAGCCTAACTGCTTGAAACAACAATCGCAGGGTTTAATGATAAAATCCAATCTTAAATGTGCAGTGAGCTGATGGAGAAGCCACCAGGGTTTCTAGCGATTGAGGCCAACACTTGCAATGTTTCAGCTTTCAAGACTTCCATTGCCTGAATTCACTTTTGGAAATAATATTTAAATAAATGCAGATGGTGTAGTTCTTCATTCCATGGTAGAGGGAGCTCAGGGTCCATTGTAAAGGCTAGGAAAAACTTTTCAAGATCAGTGTGAGTTACTTCCCCTGTAGTTTTCCAAGAAACTTATACTGAATTCAGGGTTAGATGATTCTTGTGAATAGCAATGCTTTTTCTTATTAATTAGAACAATTCCCTGATGTGTTGGCAGCAATTTGGAAGCTGAACATAGCATTCCTCTAGTACACGATGGCAAGAGAAGAAATGAAGAGCAAAAATATGTAGTGCTGCTTGTTAGTTTAGGTTAGTAAGCAAGCAATTGGACAAAAAAAAAAAAAATCTGTTGGGCATTTACCTTTTTGTTTGGTAAACTGAGGTACTACAGAGGCAGGTCAAGACATGTCATATGAAGGCTGAGATGATTACAACTCTTGCACCTATTTCTGTGGAATTTAGTAATAAAAGACATTTTGGGGGCGTCACCCATCTTTGTGCATGTTTTCTCTAGCTCTCGCTAATTAGGTAAGTGAAAGCTTTACTTCGATAAGCCCTCTCAAAATGAGATTAACCATTCCGGTGTTGGAATGTAGTCAGGTCATATAGTCTCCACTCCAAACTATGATTTTCCTAACCGTTAGCCTTTTGGGTTTTACCCCAAATCTGAAAGTTATCTTCAAGGGCCTTTCTAGATCATGTGATCACCTACCAGAGTGATGGAGCAGACACTGTTATTACCGGCAAACTCCAGTTTGCTGTGTAACCTCACTGCCTGCTTACGTCTGCATGAGCTGTCATGTATTTCCGTGCGACTGAAAGGCAGATGGAAGGAGGAGGCTTTTCTACATTGCAAAGGAAACTTGCACAACTCTCCCTTTATGACTTCTCGTGGGCACAGACTGGAAAGAAAACAGGTAGAGTTAACTGCTGGGATACTCACCTAACTCTAAAGCCGCTATTAATGCCAGCGCAACAAGAGCTTCGTTTTGCATTATTACGTGTTCACTGGTTGCCATGGTTACTAAATGCTTGATGCCACCACTCTGTACAATGGTCCTAATTACATCCTAAAATAAAGAACATAGAAATGAAAAAATTCTGCATTGCATACACACTGTAGTAAGTAACAAAATTCTCATGGATGTTATGTTACCTTTGGGTAAGGACACTTACTGGCTTTACGCACGTATGTACTTTATGCAACTCATACATAAATGTATATACATGTGGGCCTCTAAATTATCTACTCTTACTCTGCAATTACAAGATACAACATGTTAAACCAAGCCAGTTAACCACATGATTAAAGTAAGACACACGTAACTAACTCTTTTCCAGGTTATACTGCGTAACGCCGTCAGTCACCTGAGGGAGTCCACTCCGTTACGTTTGAACTCAGCTGGTGTTTAAAGATGATTAGTTCTCCCTTCTTTATGTTGTGATGTACAGAGCAGCTTATCAAAAATGCCCAACAAACCATATATTTGGGATAAGGAGACACAAGAATATATTTTTAATAAAGTTATCAAATGCTTCTCCATGGATTTCCAGAGTTTCTTCAAAATGTTCACAGAGGTGAGATCATAAATAATACACTTTACTATGTAATAGATATGGTGTACTAGAAATGAAAATGTTAAATGGCTTTAAAGCAGTTTAAAAATATGCAACTGGGATTCTGTTTTCAAGTTTAAAATTTGATCCAACTTAATATGTAAAAAGGATGAATATAGATTTCTGGTGTTCACATGTCTTTGATTACTGCACCTATTGTTTTTACCATTATACATCCCAAAATCACTTGCAAAATGTTTGCCTGAAAAAATCAGGTAACTTGGCATGCTGAAGGGAAACCCTTCAAGGAAATGTGGTTTGTTTTTTATAGTATTTTATTTGTTCTGTGGGTGCACAAAGTTTTAAAATAGTAGTTATTTCTTGAAATAAGAATTTTATTTATATTTTTAATCACTGTGTTGAATTTCCATTTAAAGCCCAGATTTCTTTCTAACTCCAGCCACGAGTCAAAACTCATTAACTGATACATGCACTTAAAATGATTTATGTTCCAGTGCTTGCACAGGCTGTGCAGTGACATTTCTTATGCAAGGAAACAGACACAATATGATCATAATCCTTGAAAACTGCTATGTTTTTAGCTAATTATACTCATGATGCTAGTGTCACAAGTCAGAGCCTAATGACTCTAGAATTTCATGTTGAAAACCCGTTTTTCCTGAATGTCATAATGTATGCAGGCAAGTAAGTATTTTTATATTTTTCTTATTTGCACTGATGAGTTTTATTATTTGCCATTTTTTCTGCCAAAGTAGTTTTGAGACCTTGTGGAATAATCTGGGAGTTGCTAATTGCTTTTTGAATTGGTGTGGAACTGGCTATATAAGCCTTGGGAATCAATCAGCACCTTTAACATCATAATTTTTGTTTTGATGAACATCACCCTTTACAAGGCAGTACCAAACAAAGCAGAGATGAGAGCAGTGAGGTTTGGTGCTGCTGTGGCTTAACTCACAAGTACCTACTCCATTTTTTAGAATGAGATGTAAGTTTTCTAAACTACTATTACTTTTGTAAATATTACCCCAAATCCTTTCAAATTAAAAATCACACTCAAATCTAAGGTGCTCTAAAGAACTATCCAGTTGTACTCATATTCAAACCTAGAGGGCAGTAAAAGCATTAAAAAAACCCAGCCTCTCAGCTCTGTTTCCCAGTTGTTTCCTCTATGAGTACAGAAGCCACACAAAAGTTCATCTGGGATAATTCTGTTAACTTCTGTACTGATATCTATTTGATGCCATCAAAAACATCTCTGTATTTAGGATTGAATTCTGTTTTCCTGTAGAGAGTATTGATAAAAACTCACAACTGTGGTGGCATATGCCATCCACACATGTGTTTTGTGGACTGTGTATGTGGGGTGTAGAAAAAATGAAACCTGATTGCTTTTAGAGGTTGAACATAAAATGGAGAATAGGCATCTGAAAGAGGCAGTAATATTTGAAATCAGCAAAGATTTAAATCTCTGTAAGTCCTGTAGATTAGTCTTTGGAGAGGCTCAGTGTAGATCAGGTCCACAGTATGTTTTTCACTTTGCAAACGCCATGCATGAATGGAGAGGTCTCTGTTAAAGTCTGAGTTGTCCAAAGCACATTCACCATCTAAACTCAGTCATGCAGCTCTGTGTTTGTATCAGTGAACACACTAAATGAAGTCTGAGCCAGAAATAATTTGTTTCCAGATGAGATGCTTTTGTTCCTTCTGGGGCTCTGTTTTGCCTGATACTCTCCTGAGCAAGGACTGTGGACTCGGGCTGCTTAGTAAGTAAAGGTACTTGGTTGATGCAAAGGTGATGGGAGGGACGGAACTCATCTGTCCCACAGTTTCTCTTAATGTCATACCTTTTGCCATGTACAAACAAGCCTCTGTTAGAATTTAGAATAAATGATCATTTGGAATGATCTGTTGGAATCTTAAAACTCTGAAATATGCTATATAAAGAGTCAGGGGACAGACTATTTCTGGATCTTGTTTTTATATAAATATATAGCAAGATCATAACAACTGAGTGCAATGATTCTTCATACATAGCATCACTAAAACGTAGAAAAACTAGCATGCTGAACTTCTACAGGATACAATACAAATAAAAATGAGTCAAGATTTAGGCATGTGAATCCTAACCATGTTCCTTCAAGTGCCTTGCCACTCTGAAATGGTTTTGCTTTGTGTCATGTCATCTTTTTTAACTATGTAGTTCCAGTGAGCATTTAAACCTGCCGCTGGCATCCAGAGCCAGAGGAGATGTAACACATGTACCGATACCAAGTGCAGAGGTAACTCTTAGTTCTTACAAACTGATTTTTTTTTTCACCACTAACTTACTTTTGATTTGCTGTGTCGTATAAGTGCAGAAAGTAGTCTGTTGGACTCTCCCATCACACCTGCATGATCCTTGGCTTCACACCACTCCACCAATCGTTCCACCAGTTTTACGTTTTTGCCCAGCTGTTCAGCTGCTTCTGCTACATGATGCCAGAGCCAATAACACAACAAAAAAGTTGTCACTTTTTAAAGCAAGTGCTAGAAAAATATGCTGACAGTTACTAACTAGGAGGAGTTTAAGTAGAACTTCACTAGCTTGCACTAACAGTGGGAAAAATCTAGGTTGCACAGAAGCAAGTAAAGCCAGTCAGAAGGGAAACAAAATACAGAAAAACATTCATAATCCAGTTTCTGAAAACAATTTATCATCCCAGTTAATGTTGCTTGTGCTTTGATTAACAGTAGGAAAAATACAGGCAATGTCACATTCCCAGGTGAGCTAGCTCAAAAAATGAAAAACTAGAAGGGACTGCTGCCAAAAGGGAGCATTGTGGTCAGCTAAAGTAGGCTTCATGGATTATAAATCATGTAAATTTCTTCAATGAATTTCTATTTCGCATCTAATAGCTGTGCTAGAATTACAATGGATCTTTTGGGAAAAAAATCTGGAAGACTGGATCAAAAATACCTACTTGGCTAATTTATCTCATTAACTACTTTGGGCTTTTTGCAGACTTCTGATTTTATAAATCCTCACCCTGAAACATGCTGTTAAACTAAAAGGTGTCTGTTCATTTTGAAATTGGAGTTTATCAATTAACAAGTGCATTAGTCTGTTCCAAGGAGCTGGGTACAGCCAGAAAATGCAGTAAGTGAACAGCAAAACAGGAGTGGTAGCTTGAAACACTCACGCCTCAATACATACTTGTAATGTGACAGTGTAGACAAGTTCTGAAGTACAAGAGTAAATAAGCATTTGACACCTATTCTGAGGGTCCCTGGTAGTCAATTTAGGAGTTCTGGAAAAAAAAAGCAACGACGTTCCTCTCCCTTTGCATATGTATTAGATTTATTCCAAGACTGCAGGAATAAAATTTTATTGCATATGTATTAGATTTATTCCAAGACTGGAATAAAATTTTTAAAAACCCTCTGCTTTCCTCTTATAAGAGCCTTGGCAGCACATCACAGACTGAACCAAAGAGAATCACTTAACATAGAGAACAGTTTATTTTTACCTTGTGCATCTATTAACATTCTTAATGTTCCCAGCAGCTTGAACTGAACAGGGGGCATCTCCGATCTGAGGAATTTCAATACAGCTTCTGCAACACCAGCTGATAGCATCTTAGCCTTATTTACAACTGCATGAATAAAGAACAGGAATGATCTCAAGAATGTTTCTGGAAGATGCAGTTTATTTCCAAGACAGTCTTGAAGCAAATTTTCAGACACAATTTGAAAAATAGCTTGTGAACTCAGGTTTAATGAACATGAGTGTGCACTGACAATAGTGCATTGCGGGCAGATGTCAAGGTTGCTAAGACACAGGTGTGAAATTAAGTGCATTTTCCTAGCATGCACATCTAATTTCCAGTGTTCAGCCTGAACGCAAACTGAAGGCTAGACTTTTTCCCCGTGGTGTAGGAAAGGTGCCTTCCACAAAATGCATCAAGCAGAAGCCCAGGCTGGTGCTTGCACCCCCAAATATGAGGAAACTTCTCTGATTCCCAACAATGCTCTTCTATTTTACATAGGTAAAGGATCTAAAGTGTCTAAGTAGCATAGTAATCTCTTACCCAGTTCCAATACTTTATACAAACAACTCTGTGGCCTGACATGTCTGGAGCCTGTAGTCCTTGTATTGCCCCCTCGAAACCTTCTTTCATCCCCTCCACTAGCCTGTGTTCTCCACTTTTATGGAGCTCTCTGAAATATTTGTAAGGTGCAAACTTGGTCCAATATTGTACTTAGAAAAAAGTACTCAATTCATATTCAAAGTAGTGTTTAACAAGTCACTGAAGCCAGTTAATACTTGCTTATTTTTCTATAACAATATGCATTAAAACTTATGCAGGTCTCTGGCAGACATCCTTGAGCACAGGTTACAGGGAAGCTTGCTGACTGATGGAAGTTTAAATAGAATTACTCCCCTGAGAAAGGTAAGCAAATGGCACACCACTAAAGCTGCATGGGTTTAGTTATGTATGCAAGATAATTTTTAGCAAGTTATTATTTGTCAAATCTGAAAATAGTAAAATAAGGTTAAATGGACAAAAGACTTATTTTTGGCTTGGCACAAGAAAGCACACACAATTATTACAGACTTGCTTTGTTTTTATGTGCATGTGCTCTGCCTGTTATGCTTGGGTAATCAAAACTCATACAAATTAATTGATTAAAAATGACAAAATTAGCATTCAGTTCATTGTCTACAAACAATAACTCATGGCAAGAGACTGGCTACTCTAAGAGTCTATCTCCAGCTCTAATTTGGGAATTGTTAAAGCCTGAGGAAGCACAGTGAGATGGAGTTTCCACAAAGTGGGCACTGCTCTCTGGTGTGGACCCTCAGCTGTGAGGGACATCTCAAATGAAGCAAAGAAACAAAAAAAAGCAGTGGTCTGGACAGAAAGGATTGAGAAATCGTATCTGAGGCCTCCTCAGCTCCCTGCCTGTTACAAAGCTGCCCTTTCCTTGGTGGGGGATGGTACTGTGGGATCAAAGTGGCAAAGGATGGTCAAAAGGCCTGTGATGTTTTTAAAAATGCTGGTCACAACTGCTGTGCAAGAGACATAAAAGTGAGGATGGGCCTGAACGAAAAGCAGCAGTCTGACCTGGCTCCAGGCCTGTCAGTCAGTGCTCCCACCCTCATCCCTGGGGGGGTGCAGTGGGAGAAGAGAATTTCACCTTTGGGTAATTAGCAATGCAAAGTGAGGCTTACCAGGAATAGCCAGGTTTCTGAGAGCGCTCAGTGCAGCGTGCTGCACGGTTACATTTCCATCTTCCACGTGTCTGTCTAGCAGATCCATCAGCTTTTGAACTATGCCATTATCCACCATATGGATGCAGTTTCCATCTGTGCAAGAGGAGACAAGTCACTTGTGAATGGAAGATTATGCCATTATCCACCATATGGATGCAGTTTCCGTCTGTGCAAGATGAGACAAGTCACTTGTGAATGGAAGATTTACTAAGATTTTTACAAGAGCTTTTTAAGAAAAGAAGGGTTATTTCCTTGTTACTTTCTACATTTTATTGTTGAGAATTTGACCACCGTCATCAGTGGGAGTTGCAGCACTCATGAAAAATTTAGAAGAGTGACATAAGAATCTCTGAAGAAGGCAGAAATCCCCTATACTTCTCTACAAATGTAAAAGAAGGGTTATTTCCTTGTTACTTTCTACATTTTATTGTTGAGAATTTGACCACCGTCATCAGTGGGAGTTGGAGCACTCATGAAAAATTTAGAAGAGTGACATAAGAATCTCTGAAGAAGACAGAAATCCCCTATACTTCTCTCAAATGTGAAACAGTATTTTTAAAGTAGGCTTAATGCTTTCCAGGATTGTAAAGTATAAAATTACAGATGTTGCTGTTTAGCCCAACAGGAGCTTTACCATGACATGCAGCTTTTGTTTGTAGCTGTACAGACAGAGCATGATAGAAGGGTACAGATAAATTAACATAAGCTATTATGGCATATTATTACCATTTCTGGCAAAGTTTGCAATAGCCAATGCTCCTGCAAGCTGTAGCTGATGGCTGTTGGACGGAATCCATGAAAGTACTCTTTGGAACACACTGCCTTTTCCTCCTTCAAACAACTTTTGCATGGATTCATCTGGGGAAAAAAGCATAGAGAGTTAGCAAGACAAAGAAACATTTGTTAGGGAAACTTCTTCTCTTTATATCTGAGAAGCTCTGCTGCCTCCACTACAATGAATCCAGTCCTGCAATGTGATGGGAGGCAAAATAGAAGGGTTATTTCCTTGTTACTTTCTACATTTTATTGTTGAGAATTTGACCACCGTCATCAGTGGGAGTTGCAGCACTCATGAAAAATTTAGAAGAGTGACATAAGAATCTCTGAAGAAGGCAGAAATCCCCTATACTTCTCTACAAATGTGAAACAGTATTTTTAAAGTAGGCTTAATACTTTTCAGGATTGTAAAGTATAAAATTACTGATGTTGCTGTTTAGCCCAACAAGAGCTTTACCATGACACGCAGCTTTTGTTTGTAGCTGTACAGACAGAGCATGATAGAAGGGTACAGATAAATTAACATAAGCTATTATGGCATATTATTACCATTTCTGGCAAAGTTTGCAATAGCCAATGCTCCTGCAAGCTGTAGCTGATGGCTGTTGGACGGAATCCATGAAAGTACTCTTTGGAACACACTGCCTTTTCCTCCTTCAAACAACTTTTGCATGGATTCATCTGGGGAAAAAAGCATAGAGAGTTAGCAAGACAAAGAAACATTTGTTAGGGAAACTTCTTCTCTTTATATCTGAGAAGCTCTGCTGCCTCCACTACAATGAATCCAGTCCTGCAATGTGATGGGAGACAAAATCTGACCCATTAAATGTTAATGTATAGGTAGCAGGTTCTCTATGTTATTTAGAAAATCAATAAATAGTAAAATTCAGCAGCCAAACGGCATTACAGGCATCTGCTGTTGCTTTGCAGAAGGTAGCGAGTGACACGCTGTACTTACCTCCAAGCAATAATAAAACCATAAGATCAGAAGCTGTTTTAAGCTCTGCAATATCATCCTCTTTGTCACTGTCCACAGTCTTCTGGACGATCTCAAGTAAGCACTCCACCAAGCCTGCTTCAACCAGCTGCAGTTTAATGACATCTGAAGAATAGCATGGATAATAGGAGTCAGAATCATGATTTTAAATACATCTTTTGTACGTACACGCAGGACATTCTGAAAAGTAGTGACGTCAATACTTTCACTGACAGCTTGTGTAGATAAAACAGCAACTTCATTATTTTAAATCCTCAGGGCCAACTTGTGTTAGTATCTATCTATCAGGCCCGTGCCTAAAGCACAACTAAACGCTGAAGCTGTATGGAGCTGCTCTTTGCTTCTCAAAAATGAGGATATTTCTCTACAGCAAACTTTTGGTGTCTCAGTCATCAGGCAGCAGACTCATAAGGACTGTGGCATGTTTGGGCTTTCCAAAGACTTTCAATTGTGCTGCAGAACAAACTTTGGGTTTTTTCTTCTATTTCACGTACAGAAGAGCTCCTGACTTCACTAAGACATGGAAGTATAAAATACAGAACTTTTAGGTGAAATCTCAGAGCAAGTAATCACCCATTTCTTTTAGCTGAGCCAAGATTCCTGCCATTCGTTGAAAGGGCTGCAGGAGGAATACAGTAAGGTCAAATCTAAAAGGCTGGGTTGGGAACAGAATTTGTTATGATTGAAGAAAAACTGGAAAATGATGAGGTAAACTCATTTCTTAGTTATTGGCAACAAGGCTCAACAAAGAAGGTCATAAACGTGTTTTTCAGGTAACTGGAAAATGATGAGGTAAACTCATTTCTTAGTTATTGTCAACAAGGCTCAACAAAGGAGGTCATAAAGATGTTTTTCAGGGGGTGAAATGGGACTTGGGAGCAATATTTTTTTCTATTCTATCTACAACACAATCTTTAAAAGATTTTTCCCTGTAAACTTGGATCTGGGAATCTTCTTTACATGCCAAAACCTCCCGTTCTGTTCAGCAGGAATGGCAGGTCATCTAATGCTGCGTTATGGTTTTTTTGTTATGTCAAAGAGACTCTGGTAGTTCTTGCATGCTGATTTTAGAAAGCAGTTACAAACCTCTGCAGAAATGTGCAAACAAATGGATTTCTCTTAGCTTTCTGCATCAAATGGTGTTTTAACAATAAGGAGTTTAACCTGAGTTAAAATATTTTTAAAGGCCAAAGCTTTGGAAATATTTTTTCATATAGTTTACAAGTGGCAGTTGGGTGAGAAGTGTTCTACCTCTGCTGAAGGACGTGACTGACTCTTAGTATGCTGTTGTCCCCAGACTTTTTGCCTGAGTGGAATTTATTGTTCCTCTAAGAGTGGCTGACCTTCTCATGAACTTGGTTAGGGAAAGCAAAATATCTAGACAGGATTTTTTAAAATAGGTACTTTTGCACTGAGGTACTTTAAAAAAAATATAGATTTCCCTTAGTTACAGAATACCGAGTGCAGGTGTGCTATGATTTGAAATATCAATTGCTACACCAGTGTTCCTTAACAACAAAACAAACCAAAAAACTCAAAAAAACCCAACCAGATTTGAAATATCAATTGCTACACCAGTGTTTCTTAACAACAAAACAAACCAAAAAACAAAAAAACCCAACCCCCTAAATCCAGACTCTGCAAATACTTCATTTAGATGTTTTTGCCTGCTGACCTCTTGCTAATTACCTACAATCAAAAGCACCTAAACAGTACCAGCACAGTGACCTCATTTAAGTATGCCTTGAACCCACAGGGGAAGAGTTCAGCTGATTACCTCATAACATGTAAGCACCTAAGTTATGTTCAGCAGCAGTAAACTTATAAAATTTTATCGCGACTATAAAACATAATCTAAGAAAAATGAAACATTTGAACTGAAACATGTCAAACTCACAAAAGCTTGGACCTAATTCTGTGTCGGTCTCCAAGGATGGAACTATCTTAGAGAAACTTGTTAGTTATTATGTGGTAAATGAATATATTTTGGCAAAATGTGCATTTTCAGAACTGAAAATAGGAATCCTGTTTTTACATACCACTAATAGGCAAAATAACTTTTTAAATTGAGGTAAAAATTTATCTTGATTTATACTGTGTAAAACAGACACAGAGAGTGTGTATAGAGTTAGGATAAAACCTAAATCGTTAGTTTACAATCTACCTAATAACTTATTCCATTCAAACAAACTTTAATGCTGAAGTGATTAAAACAAGGTTATAGAACCATCAAATACTGTGATGTCTTCCATACTTAGAACTGCTCCCCACTTCAGTCCAGCTCCACCTGCTAACTCATTTCTTCCTTTCCCTTACGGGCAGACGGTAGATTATACAAACCACCAAGAACTCACTTGGGAGGAATATCCTGGAGCAGTGATCGGGCACACATCACCTCCCACATTGGCTTGAGCAGTGAATGAAACTCAAGTCTCCTGGGGCTGCTTGGTGCTACCATGATATATGCTACAAACACTCAAATTAAATTAACACCATCTCTCCGTGGACAGTAGGGGGAGAGCGTCCTGCTCTTAGCTCTGCAATTAACATGCCCCTTGCAAAAAGATGTCCATAGGAAATGCAACTGCCAGTGGTTCTGGGATCCCAGTAAATGACATAATGACTGATGTCCTGGTGCTGTAACGGGCTATGAACTCCTGAGCCAGTGTTTTGCAGACAAATGTTGTACAGAGCTCTAAAAAGCAGCTTTTGATATTCCCACTGCAGGTACAGGGAAATAAAATATAACAGAATCGTATACAGACTGAATCAGAGGTGGAATTGGCATCACCTGTTTGTTGGCTCCTGTCCTATGCTCAGACAATTAAGACCAATTCAACTCATATGACACTGTCATCACAAGGATCAATCATGACAGCTTCTGAACGAGGCAGCCAGTTAGTCCCTGAAACAGACACTGATATACCCAAGTACGTATAAAGGAATGAATAAAAAATAGGGTAAGCAAAAAAATTCTATTCTCACCATTTTCTGCCAGGGGAGCCAAAACTTCAAAAATCATCTCCTTTTTATCATGCTCTATTTGTTTCTTGAACAGTTTCACAAGCTCTTCGGCAATGTTTGTGTAGGCAAACTGCTCTTTACTTGACTCTGTGAAGCAAAAGGGAAAATTCAGTATCAAGTAAACAAGCCACATCAAAAGGTAGGATGATTTTTTTTTCTCTTTATTACCAGGTTTATTCAGTAAGGTGACTAATAGTGCTCTTCACACACAAGAACAACAGACTCGTGCTTGTCACTAAAGGAAAAGAAAAATGTCTGACACTTTAAGATAAATGTACTAACCTGAATTAATTATGATTAAGGCTGTTAAAAATATATAAATATATGATCAAGGCTGTTGGGGCTTTTTCTGCCCAACAGAATGTAAAGGTAGCTATAGAAACAGTAACATTACAAAAAAATATATATTAAATATTGGATTTCCCTCAGCATAACAGGAAGACTAACAGAATACATATTGCATTTTCTATGGGAGAGATGAAGAGTTGTACTGAATGCTTTAGTATTTACATGGGTTTACGATGGTGACATCTCCTTGAAATCTGTGCGTGGCTGTTGCAGGGCCACTTCACACTGCACAGATAATATAAAGCAGTTTTACAGATCTGTGCGTGGCTGTTGCAGGGCCACTTCATACTGCACAGATAATATAAAGCAGCTTGCTTTATTTTATATGGGCTAGCTTGCTACCAGGAGGTTAGCAATCTAAAATATAGATTAAACAAAAGCATCTTTAACTCCATTGCCTGTATCTTACCCCTCCTCACTGGCAGTATTACAGGGACGCAGGTGGTAGGGCTGGTGTTCTCCATTCTCCAGTTGCCACCTCCTGAGGGCCATCTGTAGCTAGAAAATCTTCCAGCACCTTTGCTACTGCTTTAATGGACGGTTAGGGATTATTTTAATGTAGAAATGACCCCAAGGACTGGGCAAAAGCATAAATTGCAGACCAAGACCCTTTTGTGCACATCTTATTATTGTTTTCTCTCAATATGCATGGCTGTATCGCATATCCTAAGTGGATTATTGACCTTTCCAGTATTTTTAAAAGCAGAACCATTACACTCTGTATTGGGTTTTTGCCCTGCTTTGAAATAGAATAAGAGTTTCATATAATGCTTCTCAAGGGATCTGTGGAATGCAGTTGTCTTTAAGTGATGAAAAATGACAATCTGACAATAAAATTCCCTGAAGTTACCAGGCAAAAATAAAATATTACAGTTACAATGTGATTGACTAAGCTATTGCTTAAGGGAGATTAAAGTATTACAAGCTAAATTAATTTTGTGCCAATCTTAAAGAACGAGCATCTTTTCAACCTATGGGAACAGGAAGGGAAGCAGCTGCTGTTAAGCTTCTTTCCCATGGTTATTATTTCTCAAGTGGACAAAGCTGGATATTTCCAAGGAGGGAAGGAAATGCAGTTCTCAGTGGAGATACCATTTATTATATTTAATATCCTTGTGGTTTAAGTTGGATTTTTGCACTAGAATTTCTGGTATTCGACTCATATTATACTTTCTCCCATGCAGAAACAATACATACTCTGATCTATTCATTTCTTTAGTGCTGTTTTGATGGCTCTTTCTGTTGTTTTGTTAAGTAGACTTGTCTGCTATAAGCTAAGGTATTGTGAGTAATCAGACTGTACTATATAACGTGATACTCTCTCTAGCTTTAAAATCTACGAATTTAGGACAGTTGTGAATAACTTCAGGCCACCAAATAGTACAAACTCATAGATATATTTTTCATATTTTGAACTGCTGAATCTTCTTAAAAATACAGGATGATACCATAACTGCTATATTATTGTAGTCCAGTGCAAAAAACCTCCTAAGACTAAAATTTCACTGAACAGGTTAGCAAAAGGACAGCAATGTAACCATGAGTCCTAACAAGGTGTTGGTTTACACTTTGTGGAATTCCATTGACAACTAGTTGACATACAAAGACCAGGGATCAAAGCAGGACCACAAACTTCAATTTAAATGAAGTTGTAACGAAACTTGCTAAAAATAACATCTATAGCTTAGTAGTATTTATGATTTATATATGCAAGTATTTAGTCTAGAACACGTCAAAACTCTACACCTAAAAGAATAGAGTTGTAGAGTTGTACAGGCAGATTTATGAACTGTGCCTGTCTCAGTTTCATTCAGTAATTTCCATGAGCCAAATTTAATCCCGATATAACTTTGTGGATCTACACCAGGACACATTATTTATATTATTAATAAATAATTCACAGTAAGTAGCAGCACTCAGGAAATACTGTTTAGATGATTGAAAATAGGCTTAGTTGCATTGAAGAATGTTAACATAAAACATAAGGTTGTACTAAGTACCCAAATAAATTTCAGTTTCTGAAAGGAAAAAAAAAAAAAAGAGACAGCTATAGATTTTAAAGACAATCAGCAGAAATTGCTTGCTTTAAATTTTAAATGTACCAAAAGGAATGGAACAAGCCTCAGTGCAAGGCTTTTGTTAGTTTTAAGATTTAACTTTGCAGAAACTGGATGTAAATTGGAGAATAATATTGTGAACTTACCAAGTTCTGCTAAATTGCCAAATGCAACAAGGCACATCTCTGTCAGAGCTGCATTTTGGCAATGAATGCCCAACAATTTCACTAATGTAGGAATAACACCCATATTGATAAGCTGTGACTGCAGGGTATCTACATAAAAAGAAAGTGCAACAGTGAGTTAGCATTTCGGTTTGTAGTACTACTCTTTAAAGCAAAAAAGCATTTTTCACAGAAAGCAAATTCTAGGCTAAGCAGCATTAAAATATCTGTCTCCTCTACTCTTCTACACTAGGATCTGGGCCAGACTTGAGATACTGACTCATAATTCCCCCTGCCCCTGGCAATGGGACATATTCCCAGAAGTACTCCCTCCTGATATGGTCACAGGGTATAGTGAATTACGCAACTACTCATAATTTTGTGGTTATCAGGTTCCTAGTACATGTTGGGTTTGATTCTGAGCTCACTGAGACTAGCTGTCTGAAATCAAACAAAACTATGTCAGTGAAATAATTCTTTATCTGACAGCATGTTCCTATATACTCTTTTCCCTTAAGGATCAAAACTGGAAAATTAAAATTAGAATGAATATAAACTGGCACTGAAATAAACATGAAAAGTTTTATAAACACAGGAAGTCACAATGTAGATTATGAAGAGCTTGAGAAAAAAGAAAGTTTAATAAAGACAAAAAAATGGAAGATTTAAGAAAAGTCCTTAGAAGCCATTCTGATAATTTCTTGCATAGGATGAAAGTTTATAGTATTTACAAGTAAGAAAGTTATTGCTCCTAGATGTCTGCAAATAGAAAGATGCTTTGATGGTTAGGCAGAAACATGATTGTTTTAAAGGATTATTTATAACGATATTTTCTCTTACACATTTTACCTATAACATAGCAAAGAAGAAAAACATTGTTTCACAGTTGAATAGAATGAAGCAGACATGAACACACCAGATGTTGTTTAGTAATTTTCCTAAGAATCTTTTTTTCCTTTGTTTTTAAGAGCTTTAACTACGTTTAAATGCTACAGATTCAAAAGACAAGGATCCAAAGCCCAGTAAATTCAAGAGAATTGTTATTACTTCATTTAGCTTTGGGTCAAGACCTACCAGGGAGTTTGGTTGTTTTTTTTAAGGAACTTATTCTGAGCAACTGAAATCAGTTGGAGTTTTTACGTCTGTTGAATCAGAGTCATAAAATTTGCAGATTTTTACTGGGAGATAAAAACACATTACAACTTAAGTCTAGCAAATTTAGTATCATATCGTGCTGTTGGAAAACTCTTTGCCTTCAAGATTCTGCCGAGGGTGTTTGAAATTTTCATGTCATAAAACCTATGAAAAGATTCTGGAATATTTAGTTCATTTATGTTCATTGTAAAATACTTTTGTAATATTTATCAATTTGGTACACTAAGTAAATGGTGGCACAGTTATTAAAGATTATTGGGGATAAGCAGGAATCCTTATGGCTTGACATCTTTAGTAAAACTGTATTACTTACCAGTAACTGAATTTCCTTTTTTTTTTTTTTTTTTTTGGGAGGGTGGTGTGTGTTACCTCTTCCACAGATTCGTGGTCTTTAGAGAAATTTATGATAACGCCATGTCAGACATCAAAGAGCTGTTGAAGTTGTCAAATTTCAGGTAAGTACAAATTGCACTAGCGCATGCATTGAATGCCATTTTACCTCCGGCAGATGTGTGAGTCACTACCGTACCCTCCTACTTCATTCCAAACTGACTGCAAAAATCTAACTCTGAATAGGAAAATCAGGGAGGGGGGAGCTAGAATGGTTCTGTGGAGAAAATGATTGTGTAGGAGAACTCAAGTTACTGGTAAATAATCTGGTTTTGTCCTTGGTTTGTGATTGTCCCCTGCAGACACTTAAAAATTCTGAAGGAAAAATGGTAGCCATGGAGAGTAGGAGAACAAAGACACAAACCACAAATGCCATAGAAAATTATGTGGAAAGAAATTGCTTTGTTACTAGACTATGCCTTTAGTGACTCTAAGATCACTTTATCCAACTGTAATGGACAAAAAGACAATTAATCTCTATGGGCTTCATTTGGCAAAGCATTCTGACATCAGAAAAACAAACTTTTTTTTTTTTTTTTTTTTTTGGGAGGGTGTTGTGTGTTACCTCTTCCACAGATTCGTGGTCTTTAGAGAAATTTATGATAACGCCATGTCAGACATCAAAGAGCTGTTGAAGTTGTCAAATTTCAGGTAAGTACAAATTGCACTAGCGCATGCATTGAATGCCATTTTACCTCCGGCAGATGTGTGAGTCACTACCGTACCCTCCTACTTCATTCCAAACTGACTGCAAAAATCTAACTCTGAATAGGAAAATCAGGGAGGGGGGAGCTAGAATGGTTCTGTGGAGAAAATGATTGTGTAGGAGAACTCAAGTTACTGGTAAATAATCTGGTTTTGTCCTTGGTTTGTGATTGTCCCCTGCAGACACTTAAAAATTCTGAAGGAAAAATGGTAGCCATGGAGAGTAGGAGAACAAAGACACAAACCACAAATGCCATAGAAAATTATGTGGAAAGAAATTGCTTTGTTACTAGACTATGCCTTTAGTGACTCTAAGATCACTTTATCCAACTGTAATGGACAAAAAGACAATTAATCTCTATGGGCTTCATTTGGCAAAGCATTCTGACATCAGAAAAACAAACTCTCTATTTTGAGCAGGGTTTTTTTTTTCTGCTGTTTCTTTCTTAATACAAAATATATAAAAAGTGTGGAGGAGAAGAGTGGAAAAAGGGAAACCATATCCATCATTGAAAGGTAATAGGAATCTTAAGAGCGAAGTAGAAGGATATGTTGTTCAAGAGAGCATGGAGCACGCTGATTAAAGGGCCTCCAGAATTCCCATGTAGGAAAAAAGGCAAAAGAAAATATACCAAGAAAGAACAATTGCACTGGGTCAAATGTCAGGTATTTTACTTGATTCCATACCAGTCACATTTCCCAGGATTAGAAGGATGGCACCTAAGCACAGGAATGGTCTACAGTGGTAGGAATGGATTTAAGAGAATTGTCAATAAGGTAAATATTGCTGCCTTAACCGCAGAAAGCAAAAGGGTAAATTTTCTCCTCTGCCAAAGACAGGACAACCTTGTGAGTCACAAAGCTGCATAGGAGGCAAAAACTTTGAAAATAAGAGGCTTCCAGCAGCTATTTGCTGTGTTTATACATAAGCCTGAGCTTGTCATACAAATTCTGAACTTGTCATTTACATTTGCATTACCACCAATAGGAGACTCTTTCTCTAGTAAATACAAGGGCAAAGTTTATTAAGGAGAAGTTTAAGAGAAAAGTATTAGGCTTCTCATTTGTATGGAGACTTACAGCACTTTTTAGTTCAGAGAAATTAAAAACATCAAAATGGTTGAGTCTTAGCTGAAGGACTGCCAGCAATTCTCAGGCTTTCCTATGAAAGACTGCAGACTGGGTAACTGCCTATCAGCCTTTCATTGCAGCAGATGTTTGTTAAGGCCCTACTAGAGCAGGAGACAAATTCAGGGGACACATGCATCTATCCTACAAGCAGTTGCCTGACACAGGACTAAAGTGAGCCATGAAGCCAGGCAACATCGTGTCTCAGGATGAACCAGCGTTTCTATCAGCTTCCTAAGCAGAACTTTACACATAGTGAGCAGGAAGCATGAAAAACTGAATGCCTCTTCTGGATTTATGACTCAAAGCCACAAAAGAAATTGTCTCGGATTTTACACTGCCATCACGTGTTGCACTAGTAAGATGCCTCTGTGTTCTCTTGGGGTGAAAAGCACTGACAGTGATGCTGTACAGATGCGTATACAGGTAGATAAAAGGCAATCAATACATGCGCCAGCACAAAGAATCACCTACCTAAAACTTGAATTTCAATGGCTCCATGTCCTTCGGTGACACACATGGAAACTCCAAAGAGTAAGATCTGGGGAGAATATCCCAAATTGAGAACTTTATTGGGGGCATTTGAGTTTAAAATGCTGATTTAGGCTAGTTCATGATTTTGGACAGAATTTCAGAAAACAACTGGTCATTTTGTGTTTCATCATAATGCTAAAGGAAAATTCGTTTTGTACAAATTGGTGGCATGTTTTCGTACCCTAGAAAAACCTGCTTGCAAACCCCACATCTCTATTAAATCACCATAAAACATATAAGTGATTTTATTGATTATCTCACTACCATAGGAAACATACTTTTAATCTGCTTTTACATGCTTTAGATTACTTTGCACTTGTATATTTAGGTCTTGAAAGCATGCTAGACATCTTTAGCTGTGATGTAAAATGCAAGCATGAAAATTAACAATGGTAAGTCTTAAAAGGAAGCATTACTGAAATACTGCTGTTAGGCCATAATAATGGTGCCATATATCTCCCTTTATTTTCTTGCATATTTACATAGCTTCTGCAGATGGTAAACAGTGCAAATCAGTCCCCAACATTCACTCCAGTCGCTAAGAGTTTTGTGAGAATAAGAAAGGCTTAGCAGTTGTATGCTTTAACATCAGAATGTTACATTTTACAAAGGCAATGAAGGAAAGACAACCTTGACAGACTGAAGTTTAATATGAAATGAGATGAGGAAGCAACTGATAAACGTAATTATTTTTATCTTCATCTATATGCCCATATATAAACATATGTATAAAGCCACACATGCATACTGTATTCAGTTAGCTTCTGATCTCCAATTTGACAGCCTAACGAGCTAATTGGCCTAGTTCTCCCATCATTTCTGCATTTCTTTAAAAATGCTTTAATGGTTTGTTTTATAAATCTCAAGAGAAAATTATCTGCCTTGTAGACCGATCTCATTACTTTGTAAATAGTCTTCACTCACAGGATTATGAGACCTACAAAATAACTACTCATGTCACTAACTCTTTTACATGAGCGTTTGCATATGATTATTAGTTTTATTAGATTAGTTATTAGTTTTTCACTCTTTATCCAAGACTGCTTCGCCTCTTGCTCTTAAGCAGATTCATAGCAATGCACAGACTATGTATGTGATGATAGCAGTCCTCAGAATGGGAGAAGCACACCACACTGAATTTACTGAAAGGTGCCCAAACAGCAGCTTTAAGCACAAGTGCTCCGTACCCCAAATGAAGT